ATCGGGATCGCGCAGCTGGAGGGGCAAAGCCAGGCAGCGTGGAGGTGGGGATGCGCTTGGGACCCTAGTCCCCGGCTCTACCCACTGCGCCCGCGTGGCTGTCTGAGTGTCCAGCTCCAAAGTGTGGTCCCTGCCCGCAATCACGTTCGGGAGGCTGCTGGTGCTGAGATTCCAAGACGATGGGGAGAAACGCGTGTCCTGACGTTCTCAATCTAACCACTAAGAGAATTGTAAAGTTTTGCATCTGCAAATAGTTAAGTGTTGAGCATTAAAACGATGAAAAATACCGAGAAACAAAACAAAACAAGACAATTCACCCACGCCGGCACCATCCAAAGTCCCTATAAACATTTTAGATTATACCTTGTATGTGTGTATATACATACATATACACACACACATTCTATACATGTGTGTAGTTATACATATTTCAGAAAACTGAGCTGTACTATTATTGCTTCATGAATTGCTTTTCACGTAACAAGTATTGTAAACGTCTTTTCAAAAATATACTCCTAAATCACCATTTTTAATCATTGTGGAGTATTCTATTATAGAGATAAGTTTTTCTCAATTTCTTTTTTCATGATTGTCATCCAAAGGAAACTTTTTGGACAGTTTTCCCCTTAATGCCTCCCCACATGAAATGTTAATAGCATAGACATATGGTATATCTTTTTAGGTGGCCATAAAGCATGGTAGTAGCAAAGATTGTATTTGCCTTTCCCCCACACTCAAGAACTAATTTTTGCCACCCTTAGGAGGTGATATCACTCCAAGTAAGAATGTATGGTAAAGCTATACCACAATTTATTCAACACAACAATAGACATTTAAAGTTATTTTCTATGGTTTCCCCATTTCAGGCTGCAATAAACATTCTTATACTTTTTTATAAAAGTAAGCTCTACGCCCAACAGTGGGCTCAAACTCACCACCCCAACATCAAGAGTCCCATGCTCTACCGACTGAGACAGCTGAAAAAAATATATTTTAAGTTTATTTATTTATTTTGAGAGAGAGAGATGGCAGGGAGGGCAGAGAGAGGGAGACAGAATCCCAAGCAGGCTCCACACTGTCAGCACAGAGCCTAATATGGGCTCGATCCCAGAACAATGAGATCATGACCTGAGCTGAAACCAAGAGTTGGATGCTCAACCTACTGAGCCACTCAGGCACACTAAGGGACTTATATTTTCAAGACTTTGAATATATATTGCCAATAGTCCTTCAGGCAGACTGTACCAATTTACATTCCAACAGCAGTGCAATGCATGTGCATGGCGTCTCCCTGCATTCTTTCCCTTTCCAGCTCTATTATTACTCTTTTTAAAAATAGTATTTGTTTGTTTGTTTAGAAAAAGAGAGAGAGAGCATGTAGGAGGGGCAGAGAGAGAGGAATCTCAAGCAGGCTCCACACTGTCCGCGAGGAGCTGGATGAGGGGCTGGAACTCACAAACTCTGAGATCACCACCTGAGCGGAGATCAGGTGTTGGATGCTTAACTGATTGAGCCACCCAGGTGCCCCATATTATTACTCTTTTTAACAGTCATTACTTTGAAAATTAGTGGTGAAAGGTGTTGCATTGTTTTTTACTTTAATTTGTATTTCTTTGGCCACAGTGTTTTAATGTAACGTTAATATAGTTTTACATGGTCCATATACCACTTATTAATTTTGTAATCTGTTCTTTTCCCACATACAATTATATCACACACATTTCTTCACAATATCAACAAATCCATAAAAACATAATTTTAATGGCTGCAATGTGTCATCACAAAAATTAAGTGGAATATACCAGTTTCTATTAAAACTATGATGTCATTAATTTTAAGACACACTATTTATGTACTACTAAAAAAATGCTGCCAAGTAAACTATAACATGCCACTGGTTTTTAAAACACATCCCTATATTAGAGAGGTTAAACTGTGAAAAGATATTATTTTAGAATTGATGAAAGATATAGATGATGAATAAATGCATGCTTTATCTCTGTGTGGGAAAGGGCTTTCTAAGCTTAAAGATAAAAGAAAGTATCCATGGCTTTGACTTCATCAAAATTAAAAACTCCCTTATTTCTTTTTTTTAAAGTTTATTTATTTTTGAGAGAATCCCAAACAGTCTCCGCACTGTAAATGCACAGCCCACCTAGGGCTCCATCTGATCTGATGAAGTATAAGATCAAGACCTGAACTGAAATCAAGAGTCAGATGCTTAACTGACTGAGCCACCCAGGTGCCCCAAAACTTCCTTATTTCTTATTAAAACTATAACAAGCAAAAGGTAAGTGAACAGAAAGATATTTGGGGCAGCTGTGACCAAGGGTTAATAGCCTTAAAAAGACCACAAGATCACTGGAGAAAGCAATCAAACTGCCAATTTACGTAAGAGGGAGTTGGCTATAAATGTATAAAATTTATTCTACCTCACTAGTAATCAAACAGGTGCAAATTAGAGATATGGTTTTTCTCAGTGTTACATCACCAAAGATTAGTGGAAAGGAAATTTTCAGTGCCAGCAAAAGAAGGGATATGAAACCCTCACATACCACAGAGAGGATTTGTCAAGTGCTATAGCCTTTATTAGGGGCCTTCAAAAGACTCAGATCCTTTCATTAAATAATTTTACTTCTAGAAATTTACCCTACAGAAATGATCAAGTCTTTCTGTGATAATGATACATTACATTGATTTTTTTAAAGGATTTTTAAGTACCTCTACACCTTATGTGGGGCTCAAACCCACAATGCCAAGATCAAAAGTTGCATGCTCCACTGACTAAGCCATCCAGGCACCCACATTCTTATTATGGGAGAAAATCACAGGAAACTGTAGGAAAAAAACTAGGAAAAATAAACATCTTAGAAGTGTGGCCATATTGTTAAAAGGTAGAGGGGCGCCTGGGTGGCGCAGTCGGTTAAGCGTCCGACTTCAGCCAGGTCACGATCTCGTGGTCTGTGAGTTCGAGCCCCGCGTCAGGCTCTGGGCTGATGGCTCAGAGCCTGGAGCCTGTTTCCGATTCTGTGTCTCCCTCTCTCTCTGCCCCTCCCCCGTTCATGCTCTGTCTCTCTCTGTCCCAAAAATAAATAAACGTTGAAAAAAAAAAAAAAGGTAGAAACATGATTTTTTTAAATGCACTACCAAGGAGATCAGGGGTTTTCCCTCATCTGATCATAAACCAGTGTTCTTTGGTCATTTAATAAGACCTGAACTCTCAAACGCTGTAACCTATTAAGACGACACCTCCGGATGTTAATTATACCTTAATTAAAACAAAAAATTATAAGAAACCTCTGGGAAGTGTCTTTGTGATATCCTGGAGAGAGCATCCAAAAGCAAAAAAAATGGGGGCGCCTGGGTGGCTCAGTCGGTTAAGCGTCCGACTTCAGCTCAGGTCATGATCTCACACTCCGTGAGTTTGAGCCCCGCGTCAGGCTCTGTGCTGACAACTCAGAGCCTGGAGCCTGCTTCAGATTCTGTCTCCCTTTCTCTCTGCCCCTCCCCTGCTCATGCTCTCTTTCTATCTCAAAAATAAGTAAAACATTTAAAAAAATCTCAAAAGCAAAAAAAAAGTTTTCCTTACTTGTGAACCACCCAGAAATAGACCTCCTGTCTGGAAGATTTGGGAGTCCCACGTCTTGGTGACTTCAGCCAAAATGCCATTTCCTCTAGCTCTGTTTTCATTTGAGGGCAGGCAGCATTATTCACCCTGCCTGTTCTGTGTCCCTCTCACTCCTAGCCATGGAATTTTCCTTTACCAACAGCTTGTATTGCTCCCTGTTGAAGATCTGCTCATGCCTTCCCCTTGCACTTGGAGTTAACACCCTTGCCAAGACCTAAATGGCCCGTCAGGATCACCCTACCTCTGGGATCCTATCTTGGATCATTGTCCCCCTTTACTCCATTGATGAATCTTTCTCTAGTTTTCTCAAACCTGTCAAAACTGGATGCGGCTTCCAGATTATTACACTTGGGCAGGAACAAACTTTCGCCCAAGGATTTCGCCCAAATCCTTTCATGGTGGCATTCAGAGAGGCCTTCACTAACTGTCCAACACTACCTTATTGCTAACTTGCTTATGGCCTGCGTCCGTAGGTCTGAGGTGGAGAGGACAGGCAGGTAAGTTCCCTGCAGTGCTGGTGGGGACCAGGAACACCACTCATCTTGTGCCATATGCTCACATGGGGTGACCCGGCGTCTCCACCGGGGAAAGGGACTTAATAGTACCCACTTATCCTTGGAAGAATTAAGCAGGAACCTGCTCAGGAGAGCCGAGTCCGGCGCTGATGAAGTGCAGTGGGACACGGCTTCCGGCCACCCTTTCTCGTGGCAGCGCCCCGCGGCGTTCAGGGCCTGCCTACTGGGCGCCGCAGGGCGGGGGGGGAGGGTCGCGGGGGTGCGAGTTCGTTAGGGCAAAAGCCAGGTACGGGACTGAGGCACGCGCAGGAGACCCCGCGCGGGTCCGGGCCTCAGGCCCGACGGTGGCAGGTAAGGGGAGTGGAGGCACATAAGCCTTGGACATGCTTCCGGTGTCGCAGCCCCCAGGAGAGGCCCAGGTGGTCATAGGCTGGTTCTAGGGAGAAAACGGGTATAGGCGGCGCCAGGGCGGGGAGCGGCTGTCCCTTCAGGTCAGCCCGGAACGCGGATAATAGGCTAGAGTAGGGGTAGGAACGTAGCCACCGCACCACACCCCAGATCTCGGGACGGCCTTTCATATGATTACTACAGGGAACGGATTGCCGCCATTCCCCTCCCCCACTCTGGCGGGTAAGGGGACAGAACTGTTTGAAGGAAGACGCATGCGCATGAAACTAAATCATAAACGGCAGAGGCTCGAAGTTCAATAACCGCGGAATCGCGCAGGCGCAAGAAAGCCCGGCGGGTTTATGGAGGTGGGAGGGGGAATGAGCCCAAAACGCTTGCGCACAATCATATGTTGCCTAGAGGGAGGCCCGTTCATGAAATTACGCATGCGTCTGAGCTCTGTGTGACGCAAGGGGGCGGTGCGGGCACCTAGCTGCGCGTGCGCAGAGCTTGTTCAAAGGGCCTTATTTAGGTTGCGCAGGCGCCCGCTGGCCATTTCTTCTCAGCCACGCCGAAGTCGTGTGTTCAGGTAGGTGAGTGTCGCTCTGTGTTTGCTACCCAGCGGCCCCCGAGGATGTTATTTTTTCGAGGACTGCCTATCCCTAGCCTTCGGTAGTGCCTGTGGGGCCCTGGCAAGGTGCGGGCTGCAACTAGAAGCCAGAAGTAATTCGCCGAGTAGCGGCGGGGCCGCCGAGGCCTGCAGGCCGCGTCGACTCTATTGTGTGAGATGTCGGAGGAGGCGGAGCGGAAGCGGCCGCCGCCATTTCCTTGCCTGCACGCTGGCGCTAGGCCAGGGCCCCCTCGGCTTGGGGCACCGGTACTTGGTGCCCACAGCGGCTTCGGGCTCCCGGCCGTTGGCCAAAGAGGTGTTGGTGTTGGAATTGCTGGGTTTCGGGCGTCTGCACGGGCTCGCCTCATACTCGGGCGCCGCGGACCGTCGGGCTCCTCGAGGGCGGAGGGCTGTTGAATTTTAACATTTCCCTGTTCTGACGTTCATCCCTCGCCTTGCAGTCTGTTTGGACGCCAGGACCCACTAAGAGACAATGATGTTGGGCACCGAAGGCGGAGAGGGATTCGTGGTGAAGGTTCGGGGCTTGCCTTGGTCTTGCTCAGCAGACGAAGTGCAGCGTTTTTTTTCTGGTGAGTTTGAAGTGGAGGCGGGAGTTCGGGGCCGGAGCCGGCGGACGGGCAGGCGGGCCGTGAGGCGGTCGGGCCAGGGCGGGGCGGGCCGGGCCTGGCCTGGGGCGCCCCCTGGCGGGGCGCGGGCGGCAGCCGTTCCCTCTGGGCTGCTCGCGCCCCGCCGGCCGCTGTTACGCAATGGAAATTGCGAAAGCCCCGCCCGCCCTCCGAGTCCACTTGGGGGGAGTGCGGCCTCTCTGGCTGATTTTTTTTTTTTTTTTTTGTTTGCTTTACCTACGTTTAAGCACTAGTCTTCTACGGCTATCTTTTCGAAAGGATAAATGGGATTTCTCTCTTCATCTTGAGAAAATTGCCCAGTTGCTGGGCAAACAATACTAACATTTTGCAAAACCTTGAAGTGTAACAACTTACTCCCAATTTTGGTATGTTCTTGAAGCAGGGTATTTGACTTCAGAAAGTTAAAATGTCACTTGTTAATTTCAGACAATTTTCCAAATCAAGATTTGGTAATTGTGACGAGTTCTTGCTCATTCTAGTTCTTGATCTGGCTCACTTTACAGTTGAGGACACTGAAGCCCAGGGAAATTTACTTGTCTGTGTAGCTCTTTTCCAGTATGTGGGTTTTCTGAATACTTTCTACTAGAATGTCCTTGTTCTCATTGCTAGTGTGAGTTTAGGCTGATAAAGATATATTTGGAAGAAATTTACAGGTTTTGGAAGGACACTTGTAGTATTGACTTACTGTCTGAATTTAGCCTGGGTAACGGAAAACGACCTGTAAAACGAGAACCAAGTACACTGGAAGCCACCTTGCGGTGAGCAAGACTGAGTTTGGCTTCAGCTGTGCAACTTGGAGCATTTTAGCTTGCTAACATTGATCCCCACTTAGGTGAGTATTGGCCCTGCAAATTTGGATTCACAGGAGAAATTGTAATGTTGCTGCTAGTAAGGTAAAACCAAGTGCCCTGGACCAAAACTTGAAACAGTACCCAGAAAATGCCATAAAATCAAAGTCCAGACTTATTTTATGAGGGGTTTCAAAGGATGTTCAACGGAGAAGACTTGGAAATCAATTTTGTTAAGCTGTTTGGATTTTGGGTTTTCTTGAGGTAATGTAATGTATAATCTAGGGAGTAAGGAAGTTTGGGAGAAGTTAACGGCTTAAGTTCTAGAAAGCGGCTCTGGGATTTGGTAATATTGCTCCTTCTAGGCTTTGCAAAAGCTCTGTAGCGGAGCATGAATAGGCGTTTCATCTGTATCACCCAGAGGTGGTTTTTGTTTTTGTTTGTTTTTTTTTTTGTTTTTAGTTTTAAATTCTGTATTAACGGTTGTTTTCTTTCCAGACTGCAAAATTCAAAATGGGGCTCAAGGTATTCGTTTCATCTACACCAGAGAAGGCAGACCGAGTGGCGAGGCTTTTGTTGAACTTGAATCAGAAGATGAAGTCAAATTGGCCCTGAAAAAAGACAGAGAAACTATGGGACACAGATATGTTGAAGGTTTGATTTATGTTGCCCTAGTAACAGTAAATAAAAACATTAAACACATAGAGCTCTATCTTACCCCTTCTGAATTTTAGGTATTTGACCGCATGGAAATGGTCATCTAAGGGAGTTTATGGCAGCTCTTCCTAGATTATCTAAAGACCCAGGAAGTCTGAACTTTGTTCTCTGACTTTCCAAAATTGACTAATTCTAAGCACCTCTTTCAGTATTCAAGTCAAACAACGTTGAAATGGATTGGGTGTTGAAGCATACTGGTCCAAATAGTCCTGACACGGCCAATGATGGCTTTGTACGGCTTAGAGGACTCCCCTTTGGATGTAGCAAGGAAGAAATTGTTCAGTTCTTCTCAGGTATGTAGTTGTGTTTGTTGCTGAGCAGTGAGTTCTGGCTAGCTTCTGGCAACATGTGATTTAATAGACCTTAAAGTTGAGTAGCTTAGATATTTAAACAGGTGTGAGTATATACAGGTGAATTAAATGTTTTCTTCTTCCTGGAGACCTTCAAATAATTTAAGCCCATCTTAAAGGTGGAAATTAAGTACTTTGAAAATGCTAACTTTGCCTATATTTAGTATTGTAGTTCAGAGTAGATCTTTGAGGATTGTCCTCAACAGCTTAACTACTTCCTCACAATGCTGTTCAGCAAAGTACTTCAAGTTAAAGGTAAGATCCCTTAACATTAGATTAGTTTGAGTTAGGTTGTTGTGATTTATGGCAAGTGCCTATGTTTTAAGACAAATTGGGTCATGGGCCCAGAAACGTCTCTAATGGCCTAACTCTTAGTGGGGAAAAAATACGGAAGCAACTGGTTGTTGTAGCCAGGGAATTATGAACTTAATTAAAATCTAATGTAAGAGTAGTTTGAATGTAGTCTCATTGTCTGAAATAAAGTATTTTGAAACTGTTCTGGGCCTAAAGTATTTGAATGTTTTTATGCTGAAGAGCTGGTAAAATTGCATGTGTAGAAGAATGTTAGATCATATATTTTAAGTACTATTTTAATACTCATGTGATAAGTGGAATTAAGAAATCCTTTCATGGTTCAGTATAGTATGTATGAAAATCTTGACTTAGATATGTATCAAGTCCTAATATTTTGCCAGAATTCTTGAAATCAAGTCTGCTTTGATTGTTTTTGTCTAAATTGGTGAGAATTGAATGCTATCTGTCAACGTTAAATATGAACATAATTTCATATCTTCTAGGAAAGTGCTTTAAGCCCTTTTTGTAAGCTTGGGAATGTATCCACGGAAAGGATTTTTCATAGACGGAATTTCCAGAAGTGAATCATACTACTGTTAGAGCATAAGAGTGCATGATTGTGCTGTGTAGATCAGTTGTTTGTTGAAAAGTTTAGATTGTATGTTTGTCAATTATATGACTTAAGCAATGTTTCAATTTGTATATGAAATGTTTAAATGTGTAATTTTTTTTAAAAGTTGAAGTTCCACTAACTTAGAACATTGAAATATAAATTGAGGTAAAAGGTGTTTTAAGTATAGTAACTGTTGTATTTAATGCTTGAAACTTTATTAAATTCTTGTGTAATTCTCAACATTAATTTGCATAGATAAGAGTGTTAATTGTTGAATTCTTAATGCATCCTGTGTTCAAGTTTTTTTCTTACATACTGTGCCATGGGGTGTGTTAAGAATTGAGTTATACTTTGTAATAATGGAACTTCATATTACAATGCATATGTAAAAAAGTACTTGTTGAAAGCATACCGTTCACCTAAAGTTAAAATTCTGGTTTATTTAAAGCTATAAGAAGAATCATTTCTGGGCTTGTGATGTTAATATTGCCCCCCTACTGGGGTTATTTGTCCTTGGGTTGAAGGGTTGGAAATCGTGCCAAATGGGATAACATTGCCGGTGGACTTCCAGGGGAGGAGTACGGGGGAGGCCTTCGTGCAGTTTGCTTCACAGGAAATAGCTGAAAAGGCTCTAAAGAAACACAAGGAAAGAATAGGGCACAGGTGGGGATGGATGGTTGGTTGGATTTGTCACTTTTCTTATGGTAAACGATTAAATCCATATTCTCTCTGCTTAGAAGAAAGAAACCTATTTTCTAGTCCCAATTGATGTTTTGCCACAATTTTCAAATTCCCTATATTAAAGTCCCGTAAAGCATTCAGATTAAAGTTTAGGTTTTAAAATTGTCCCCAGTTAATTTGGTCTCCCTTACGATACTGTAAGATTCCAAGATTCCTAATTCTAATCAATAGAGTTGAGAGACTATGGCTTTAAAAAATGTTAATGCAAACCTGGCTTTAGCTGTAATAACACCCACCTAGTAAATTAATATTACCATAAGAAAATGTGATACTTTCTGATCTTGTTTTTAAAGTTGAAATGCAACAAACTTTTTCTTGCTGTATAAATATTCTGCATATGTATTAATAAGCATAGCTTTCAAGAAATTGTCACAAAAGGTTTTATTCTCTTTGCTTGTGACTATTTTTCATTGAAGCATGCGCTTACCTATGCTGATTTCTACTAAAAGCATAGGCCTGGGGTATTATTGGCGAAAGAAAATGTGTAGTGTGGGCTAGACTGTTGGTGGAGGCTGGCTTTTTAGCCCACTTGCTATACATGATGCCAATGGATTTAAGACATGAAATGTTGAAAGTTGAGTGGAATTCTTTCCCTCCTAAAACATTTATTTGTAGTACTCCTCTCTACCCCTAAGGTTGGGCTCTCTGCCTCAGAGGAGTGAGTTATAATCTATAAATACAATTTACATTAAATCTTGCAATTGAGTGAATTTCTGGTCATTGCCTATGCAAATATAAGAAATCTGGCTTTAAATATTAGTCAGTTTCATGGCTATGACTACATTGTTTTCTTGTGTAACTAAATACCTGTATGAAATGAACTAATGTTTTTTCTCCCTTCCCCATCCCTTTCCTTCGTGAACAATGCTTTAGGTATATCGAAATCTTTAAGAGCAGTCGAGCTGAAGTTAGAACTCACTATGATCCACCACGAAAGCTTATGGCCATGCAGCGGCCAGGTCCCTATGACAGACCTGGAGCTGGCAGAGGGTATAACAGCATTGGCAGGGGAGCTGGCTTTGAACGGATGAGACGTGGTGCTTATGGAGGAGGTACGTCAATATGCAGATATCACAGGGTCTGTTGTTTGTGTAACTGTTTTCATTTGATTGATTGTACTTCTTGTCTTCCAGGTTATGGAGGCTATGATGATTATAATGGATATAATGATGGCTATGGATTTGGGTCAGATAGATTTGGAAGAGGTAAGGTAAGAATTGAATTTCTCAACTAAAGGATACTTACACTCTTGTCCATCTAGACCTCAATTATTGTTTTTCAGGAATGTCTGATCACAGATATGGGGATGGTGGCTCTACTTTCCAGAGCACAACAGGACATTGTGTACACATGCGGGGATTACCTTACAGAGCTACTGAGAACGACATTTATAATGTAAGTGTAAGATAAATTTACAGGTTGTCTATTTCAGGAGAGCATTAAAAACTTGGTTCTTAGTCTAAGTGAAACAGTACGGTATAAATTTGTTTTCTAACAATAGAGATTTGACTTACTCTCTGAAATACTTATATTTAGTTCTTTTCACCGCTGAACCCTGTGAGAGTACACATTGAAATTGGTCCTGATGGCAGAGTAACCGGTGAAGCAGATGTCGAGTTTGCAACTCACGAAGATGCTGTGGCAGCTATGTCAAAAGACAAAGCAAATATGCGTAAGTGAGATTTAAGTGTCTTGGCCGGGGGTCTCTACAGATGGTTGAGTGACCAGTGTTTGTGATAGAGAAATAGTAGGGATGTATGAGAAATTCGGTCTGATAATGAGTTAGTTCTTTGGTTGTGTTTAAAAAATGTGGGTTTAGTGGGATTGGAAGGGGTTTGTGATGAGAACATGGACTTGAATTGAATTATAGCCTTAATTGACTTAATTTAGATGAATGTTTAAATCAAAAGTCTGGTTTTTGAAATGTGCATAGTCCAATTGCCTGAGAAGCAGCTAGACTTTTTTTTTTTACCAAAAGTATTTGAAGTTCACAGATCTACTTGTTTAAGAACTTAAAAGTGCTTCTCTCTCTTTCTTTCACCAACAAACACTTTCAAACTTTTTTTTTTCTCATTTCAGAACACAGATATGTAGAACTCTTCTTGAATTCTACAGCAGGAGCAAGCGGTGGTGCTTACGGTAGCCAAATGCTAGGAGGCATGGGTTTGTGTAAATATCACTTTAGTGTCTTTTTTTTAAGCTAACCTTGTATGCCTTTTCTCTCATTTCAGAACACAGATATGTAGAACTCTTCTTGAATTCTACAGCAGGAGCAAGCGGTGGTGCTTATGGTAGCCAAATGATGGGAGGCATGGGCTTGTGTAAATATCGTTAGTTTTTTTAAAAACCAAAACATATCTATATAAGTCGATTATATAAGTTAAGTTAATTTATATTTTAATGAGTTTAGCATAATTAAGTTAGGCAAAGAGTTTTCAATTTGAATTTTGTCTGGCTTATTTAAATCCTTGTGAGTTAATGTAAAAACTGTTTAGATGACTAGTTTTAAGTACTTTTGGGGGAGGGGATGGCAGAAACTAGCTCGGTTGTCTTTATGAAGTATAAGTCTAAAATTAACTAAAAAGCAAAGGATCAATAAATTCTTGGGCATAGTTGGGCATAATTAGGTGTTCAGTTATACCTGTGTATTCATATAACCTTACTGTATAAATTATGGGGTAAAACCCCACTAAATCCAGTTAAGCAGTATCTTAAGGTCTTCTCAAAATGCCTCTACTTTATGGAATCATGTGCATTTAGTCCTGCTGATGTGCATACTGTTGGCCTTTTGGTTTATAAATGTTTGACTAGTTCATACGATGGATAGGTAGTTTTGGTCATAGGCAATAGGCAGAAGGAGACAGAGGATTATAGTAATATAAAATCAAAACTGGAAAATCATAGATTTAGAATTACAAGCCCGGTACCACCAGGTACCACATTACATATGGCACAAGGTTCTAATGTTCTCTTAACTTAACAGCAAACCAGTCCAGTTATGGTGGCCCAGCCAGTCAGCAGCTGAGTGGTGGTTATGGAGGCGGCTATGGCGGCCAGAGCAGCATGAGTGGATATGGTAAGTGTGTTTTTCTGTATACTTGAGATAAGTTTTAGGCAGGTTTCTTTAGTTGGGGGAATATGCAGGCTTCTTTTTGGTGAAATTGGGGTTAATAAATAATATGCTTTTGATCCAAATGTAACTTGTTCTTTTAATAGCTTAATTTTCAGAACCAATCTTTGGGAGGGGGAAGTGTTGTATAAATTATTAGTCATTGCAACTTGGAATAATGTCGAGCCAGAAAACATCTGCCTCCATTTATTAAAAAAATTGTTCATCTTTTTTTTTTTTTTTTTTCTGTCTTTTCGTTAGCATTAAATCCATTTTAGATGGAGGGAGAATTTTATAAAGTAGAATGGTGGTTGGGTTCAGGACCGTATTTACTAGTCAGTTTTATCCTAGGATTGCTTTTATTTGATTTTTTTTTTCAATTGGTCTAAAGAATGGTGATTTTGGTATTATAGTCTTACCCTACAAAATCCTTTTGCAGACCAAGTTTTACAGGAAAACTCCAGTGATTTTCAATCAAACATTGCATAGGTAAATATTTTCTCAAAAAATATAATTTAAATTCCCAATAGCAAATACTGATATGTTGTAATAACACTATTTCTATAGCAGTCAATGGCTCTGACTTAACTCCATGGAGGCTGCCATTTTGGGCACAGTGAGTTGCCTTTAGTCCAACTTTTGTCGTCTCACTTCCTGCCCACCATGAATAGGAAAAGCAAGAGACTGCCCCTGTCTTCCCTATTCATATATGCCATTCGATGGACACATTGTGAATGTTTATGGTAAAATTTTTTTTTTAAAATGCCTTGTTTAGCTTTAAAAACAACATGAAGTAATTTTGCAATTTTTGAAAAACACTAGTTTTCCTTTAAACTTAATTTTCTATGTTGATCCTGAAGCATCCAATTAAATGGTAGCACGAGAGTCTGGCAAGTTGGTACTGCAGAGAAAAGGGGTTAATTGAGACTTGTTTGGAGTCGGGAGTCCCCTTTCCCAAACATGCTTCTCGCCACTTGGACAGCAGCCATTTGTACTCGTATACTTTTTAAACTTTTTCTTGGAATGCTATATTTTATTTGACTGATAATCTGATAATTCTCCTGACTTGTAATATTGATCTCTTTGCAGGCAGCCAAGGAGCAGTGAACAGCAGCTACTACAGTAGTGGAAGCCGTGCATCTATGGGAGTGAACGGAATGGGAGGGATGTCTAGCATGTCCAGTATGAGTGGTGGATGGGGAATGTAATTGATCCTGATCACAGACTCTTGGTCAACATTTTTTAAAGAAAAAAGTTTAACAGTTTTGCAATACAAGCTTGTGATTTATGCTTACTCTAAGTGGAAATCAGGATTGTTTTAAAGACTTAAGGTTCAGTATTTTTGAACACAAACTTTCATCTAGGATGTAACAACCGAGTAAACTATAACTGTTAAACAATTTTCAGCTTTTCTCTAGTTATATAGTAGGATGTACTTAAGCAGTAAGTGTATTTAGGTTAAAGCAGTTGAATTATGTTAAATGTTGCTCTTATACCACATTACATTGAACACTGTTTGGATGCATGTTGAAAGACATGCCTTTTTTTTGTAAAACTCAATATAGGAGCTGTGTCTACAATTAAAAGTGAAAACATTTGGCATGTTTGTTAATTCTAGTTTCATTTAATAACCTCTAAGGCACGTAAGTTTTTTTTTTTTTTTTTTTAAGTTAATGGGGGAAATTTGAGACGCAATACCAATACTTTAGGATTTTGGTCTTGGTGTTTGTATGAAATTCTGAGGCCTTGATTTAAATCTTTCATTGTATTGTGATTTCCTTTTAGGTGTATTGCGCTAAGTGAAACTTGTCAAATAAATCTTCCTTTTAAAAACTGCACTTTGTCTTGTCTATACTTCAGTGTCATGTGGACTGTTTCTTGGTGCTCTATTCCTGCCCGGGGCGTAGGTGAGAGTGGCTCACATCTTTGGCTGTGGCAGAGAGGCTCGGCAGTTGAGGCTGTTGTGTAGATGTCGTCAGACTTCCCTCCAGTGCAACTGAAGGTAAATCTAGCTTGTGGGGCCCTTGTGGAAGGGCTGTGTGTTTGGCCTGGCTGCGTAGGACCTAACCTGAGCTGCCTCTGACTCGCTAAGCGCTTGCGTAAAACATGGAGAGGCAGAAGTGCTCACTGCATGTTCTGCATGTTTGCGGAGGCCTGCAGCAGGCATGGCTAAGAAGGAAGTGCCAGGGGTGGCGGGTGGCTGACCAGCAGCCACCCATCCCACTCTGATGGCATCTCTTGAGTTTTTGCTTATGTGGGGTACGGGAAGTCTTCTAGAAGGAGCTAGCTCTCTTAAAGGTGCGATTGTCTCAAAATTCCTTTAGTACACGCTTAACACTGCAGACTCCGCTTAAGCCAAATTGAGGATTTGAAGCCACTTGTGTCAGTGCTGAAAATCTCTTTTCATCTTGGGTGAGGTTTGGTTACAATCCTAGGGGTTTCTAAGCATCTGTAGATGGCAGCATTGCACAAACGTGTGCAAAAGGCCCTGCGGATGTATTGTGCTGCATCCCCTCTGTGGAGGATGGTGCTATCCCACATGGTGGAGGGGAACAACTTGCCATCAGCCTGGGGCACACAAGTGTTCTTGGAATCCTTAGCCTGTCTTCAGGTTTAGAGAACTAATTTGCAGGGGAGGCAGCCTTGAGCTTCTGCTGTGTTCTGGACTTCACACTGCCCCTAGCATCTTGGCTGAGTTATTCAGTGTCTGTGGAACTGACCCGTTAATGAGAAGGCTCAAGGAAGGTTGCTTGTCTGGCTCTTTAAGTTGTTGTACGTAAGGAATGTCTTTGTTGAGTAAAGGCTCTTTGGAGGTAAAGGGGACGAGGGAGTAAGGCTAAGCTAATCCAGAACCATTTGGCTTTTGAAAAGGGAGTATTTAACCCACCATCCTGGTTCTTTGGAACCTTGTGTTCCATGGACTTGAACCAAAACCACCTGGGTGCTTGTTAGACCAGAACCTCCAGGTGCTGTTGGGAGGTGGCATTCTAACAGGACACCCTTCCTGGCTAATTAACCTGTGCATTTAAGCTTGAGAAGCATTGCCTTAGACCACACTGTCCCTCATTGCCCGGGTTAGGAAGGTCACCCCACCACAGCCTGAGGATTCCAAAGTTCAGGTGCATATTTGATGTGGCGTGGATAGAAAAGTTACCTCACTGCAACTAAATATTTGGTAACTGGCAAAAGGGTCCTTTGAATAATGCCTCAGTATCTTGCTTGTAGGGTGGAGAGGGGGAACATTCTACTTAGTGGTCAAAACAGGAGTCCGGTATTTTCTGTGTGGGCAGATGAGAGCCCATAAGTGAGGTGATGATGAGCCCAAGGCTCCCCAGTGAGCTGGAATCCAAATTGGGTGCACTGAAAACTAGGTACCGCTCTGATGCCAGACCAGTGTGGAGTATAGTTCAGGACGTAAGCATTACAGGAACAGCTGAGTGCTGGAGATTTTACTAAAAAGCTGCTCAGATGAAGCGTCCCTCTTGGCAGCTGCTTTCGCTGCCATCGTACTTCCTGATAGGATGTGAGAACCTGCAGCTCCGAAGGAATGTTGCTCTGGAGCTGGGCTTGTGTATCGACCCAATCTTGCAGAGCTGCCCAGATCTCTTCCCCCCGCCCCCCCCCCAACTTCCCATCCCACAGATGTGTTTAAGGGAGCAGCACATACGGAATCTGAGCCAGCCTGTGGGGAACTTTCTGCAGGGTAAGAGCCCAGGAAGAAGAGGGAGAGCCAGGGCCTCGAGCAGGGGCTGGACAGCTAAGCAGGCCAGGGGACTTACGGGGAAAGTGGGGACTGAGCAGCCAGCACAGGGAGTCCACTGAGGGCTGGAGAAGGCAGAGGCTCCGCAGATGGATGGATGGACAGGTCTGGACAGCATTACAGCACTTGTTTCATTTCAGACCCCTGGCAGGGGGTGGGGTGAGCATGTGCTGAGCCCAATTTCACAGCTGACTGCACCTGTCCTAGCCCTACTTTTGAAGTTCGTGAATGACTATCTGGTAGGTGCCTCCCACAGGTATCTCCTGCAATCCACTTGCATAAAGGAACAACTTCTGAGCTTTGGTGATGGGCGTGAGGTCACTTCCTCTGTGCCTGTTGGTGGACTTAATGGCCTATGTCGTCCTCAGCTCACTGGACAGGGCACAGCCTGTACCAGAACCCAGCAGGCTCACCTCAAAGGCAGCTGCCCTCCTTGAGGGCCTTTAGTCCTGACATGGGGGCTGCCCTGAGGCCTCTCCAGAGGCTGACCCTGACCTCTGTGACACGGACACGAGTGCCTATGCTTTCTGCACCGGAGTGAAAAATAAATGATTTTATTGCAGGTCCAAAGACATATTAACAAGGGTGTGATGTGGCAAATCTCTGGCTTCTGAAGCAGGGAAGGCACGGTGGGGGGGGGGGGGGGGGGGAACGGGTTGCTTATTATACTAGTACGACTGCCATAAAACCGGACAATTTTTTTGAAAAGTGAAAAATGACAGTAGCAAAATCATGAAGTTACACTGGAGCTAAGGCCAGTGATATAGCCAAGTGAGAAGGAAGCATCCAGACAGGTTAGCAGATAGGTTAATTCCATACAGTCCGGAAAGGAGAGGCGTGTACCTTCCATTCCGCCATGCTGTGTGCACAGCCGGCCAGGATCGCCTTCCTTCCTGCTTCCCCAAGCCCCTGGGCTTCCCCGAGACCCACAGAGTTTGGCACTGTTCTGAGGCTGCCTCGCCGACGCCCTGTGTGCTTAGGAGCCAGTGGACGAGGAGCAGCGCTGCAGGAGCAGCGTGTGGCAGCTGTCGCACACACGCACGGGCTTGGGGTAGGAGGGCAGTGCTAGCTCGTTGCTGGAACACGTGTTGCAGAAGATGTGGCCACAGTTACGGCAGTGGTGCTGCAGGACAGAGAGACCATCATGGTGTGCTGTGCTCCCCCATCCGTACACCCACTTTGTTCTTACAGCCTTTGGGGGAGGGATCTTAAAACCTAAGGCAGACTTGCAGATGTGTCAGTTTGGAAGGGGTACTTGCAGACCTTTGTTTCTACAGTCCTGTGCCTCTGTGCCTCTAAGGTCTGCAGAGTGGTGGTGGAGGGGCATGCGCTTGTATGAATCAGGCTCGTTATCTTCAGAATGTGTTTACTGGAGTTGGGGGCCCTGGTTCAGTCCCTGCAATCCCTGCACCCTGTGGTGGGACCCCAGGTTTCTTTAGCCAGCCAGCTCCTCCTGATGGGTGTCTTACTTTGTGAAGAACTGCCTAAGCCTTGGGCAGAACGCCAAGACCAGGATCCATGTAGAAATCTGTCATTTCTGCCAACAGCCCAACCCCATCAGGCTAGACAATGAACCTCTGCCAGGCCGTTCTCAGGGTGGGGATGGAGAGGCCCTAGTGTCCAGCAGGCCTTGTGGAAAAGCAGGATTTCAACGGTAGCCTCAGGAGGGCTGTTTCTACCTCTGGACCTACTGCAAGGCACTAAGGTTTGGGAGTTGTACTTTTCCACAGAGAGGCCATTTGCCGGGACCGGTGAGCATGTGCACCTGTGTAGTAGTGGATGGGGTACTGTGGGCTGTAGAGGTTTCCAGTTTTGCTTGGCATCTATATCCTGCCCCTATCATGCCCAACTGGTCACTCAAAGCCCTGTCAACCCTGGACCAAAGGTATAGGACCTTCTGTTCCTGGAGCCTGAGGGCAGGCTGTACACTGGCAAAGGTAGACTTACCAGGGCACTGGCCCTGCCCAGATGCCAGTGAGCTTTTGGTGCCACTTGGGGGCCTGTCCGGACTCACTGCTCACCGGTTCTCTAGAGATTGTTTTTGCCTCACTTTGCCAGATGTTGGTCCTGTTGCTTAAAATAAATTTTCAATGATCTGCTCACCTAGACTAGCTCTGGGCATGAGCTGGGAAACCATCTCCGTGGGCCAGCAGACCAGCAAGTGTGATCACAGTGCGGTGGCCCCTGTGGGACTGGGGGTGGGAGGGGATCCCCACCTGTGTGAGCCAATGGAGGGCCACCCCACGTACCTTTCTTCGGGAAATGGAGAACTCCTTTTCACACTGCTTACAGTGCGTTGCTTCATCGTCTTTCAGCCAAGTATGGCCCTGGGGGAGGAAAGACCACCACAGAATCCCAGTTTACAGCCTGGCTCCTGATGGACCTTTGCCCAATGTCAGTGGCCTACCACTTCTCTAATAGCACCTTTTGAGGGACAGCCACTTTACGCTAGATAGGGCCTCCTAGGGCCTCCCTGCCCTGACCACAGCTCACGTGCTGCAGACCGTCTGCCCTCTGGCCCTGGCTTCCCGGCCTGCAGCCAGATCCCCCAGCTTCCCGGGAACCTGAGCCTTCCCCACCCCCCTTTCAATAAATGCCCTTCCGCTGAGGTAACAAGAGTCAGGATCTGATGCCTGCAACTGGATCCTGGCTGAGACATTCTCCAGTGTCCCCCTGCTGAACTGGCAGGAGGGAGAGGGGCCAGACTGGTCAGCCAGACCAGGTCTGTGATGGCAGTCCCTGCTGAGACAGAAGGCAACGTGCCATGGGATGGGAGGCCCTTCTCCACTTGCTGAGCCCCCGACCCTCAGAGCGAGGAGGGGAGGCAGGAGTCTCCATTCTACAGAGGCAGCCGCCACTCTGAAAGCTCTTTCTAAAGGACAACCAGCTGACAATGATTTGTTCAGCTGCAGGGACTGAGCTTTCAAAGGGGCCAAAGACCTGAGAAACTTTTCTGGCTCCTTAGCCTCTGGTGGATGTCACTTTCTTGGTGACAGAGTGACCCTAAGAGCTGTAGCGTGACCACGCCCAACAGCTCCTTCCTCGAGTGCTGCTGTCACTGTTGGACATTCCAGCAGT